GAGAGACTTCATCTCTACAATAAGTCAAAAATTAGCCAGGTGTGGTAGCGCGCGCCTGTAGTTCCAGCTACTTGGAAGGCTGAGGCGGAAGGATCGCCAGAGCCCAGCAGGTCGAGGCTGTGGTGACCGGGAACAGCCACTGCACTCCATTCTGGGTGACAGAGTGAGACTCCAACTCAAAAAAACCCCAAAAAACAAAAAACAGGAAGCAATTTTGAAAGTCTGGGAGACAGTTAACAGGGGCCTGAATTAACATGGTGAGAATAGAGGTAAAGGAGAGGGAGGAATGGGAGAAATCTTTTTTTTTTCTTCAAGATAGGATCTCACTTTGTCCACCAGCAGTGCAGTGGTACAATCATTGCTCCTGGAGCCTTGTATTTCTGGGCTCAAGTGATCCTCCCACCTTGGCCTCCCAAAAAGTGCTGGGATTACAGGCATGAGCCTCCATACCTGGCCGATAAATCTTTAGGAACAGAATTAAGAGGGTTCATCTGCTGCCTGAATGTCGGGGAGGGGAAAGAAAGGGAATAAATCTCAGAATTTTTAGCTTGAGTTTCACCGAGATCAGGAATATGGAAAGAGAAACATGTTGTTGTTGTTGTTGTTGTTGTTGTTACAGGCTTAGTGGGAAATACTGAATGTGAGGAGGTCTCCATGGGCTGTTCGGGGTGCTGTCTAATAGATCACTGTAGCTACAGATCAGAGTTTGAAGAGAAAGGCCTGCACTGGAAAGAGTCCTGGGAGTAATCACATAGATGTGGAACCACCCAGGAGTGTGTGAGGGAGAAGACAGAAGGGTTCTCAGCACCAGCATGAAGGAAAGGATAGAGGAAGAGGACAGGGAGGAGAGTAAGACCAAGGGGTCGAAGAGGCAGGTAGCACCAGGACCAGGGTCGAGTGCCACCCGGAAGGCAAGGAAGAGGGATGTCAAGAAGAAAGAAGGGAGGAATTCAGTGGTGTTGAAGGCAGCAGAAAAGCCAACTGGGCTGAAGCCTGGAAAGTGTCTACTGGATTTAGGAATGTCAGGGTAGGGAAGGACTTTCGTGATGTCTAGGAAAGTGGTTTCAGGGGAGGACTGGGAACAGAAACCAGACTGCAGTGGATTGGTGAATGTGGGGTCAGGATTGGGGAAAGCTAGGAGGGACTAGTTTCCAAGAGGGAAGTTTGGTCAGGAAGAAAACGAGTGTGAGCCAGGAAGCTGCAAAGGGAGATGGCAGGACTTAGACTATGGAAGACGTGGACACGAGTGGAGGGTAAGGAATGGACCCCACGGGAGAGAAAAGTTGAAGATGCAGGACTGGGATGCTCAATAGAAGAAAGTCCTATAAAAGATGGGAGAGGAGGGGGACATAACTCAGCCTGAGGAATCAGCCTAAAACAGAAGACTACTTCTCCAATGTAGAGAATGTATTAAAGGATGGGTGAGTGTTTGGGGTGGGTGGTTGGGCATATTAGAAAAACTCCTGCCTAATGTTTCCTTTTTTTTTTTTTTTTGAGTTGGAATCTCACTCTGTCACCCAGACTGGAGTGCAGTGGCCGGGAGCGGCCACCGCAGCCTCGACC